TTTCATGCTTTTAATCAAAGTAACATTAAATTTGATAATGAAAATTACTCTTCAATATATCAATATATTTCACCAAATATTCGTTGCTTTGCTGATCACAGGCTTTGTAAAAGTTAATTCAGGTGACTTGAAGTTTAATGTTGCTAAAATGACTATCACTGTATTAATTGTTCCTATATTTTTCTGAAGCTGAAAGGAGAGAAATGCTTTCTTCTTCACTGAGTTGACTGTTGTGTGTTTGTCAGGCGTCACTCGTCCTAAAGTGAGCGTCCTGCCGCCCTCCAGTGCAGAGATCTCCTCAAAGAAGACAGCGACACTGGTGTGTGTGGCCAGCAAGGGCTTCCCGTCAGACTGGAGCCTGAGCTGGAAGGTGGACGGGAGCAGCAGGTCTCAGGAGAGCAGCGCTGGGCTCCTGGAGAAGGACGGTCTGTACAGCTGGAGCAGCAGCCTGACTCTCTCTGAGCAGGAGTGGATGGAGAGCGTCTCAGTGAGCTGTGAGGCCACACGGAGCGGCCAGCCTGCGCTCACTGGACACGTGACGAGACAGCAGTGTTCAGAGTAGATCTGCTGCTCTTCTCACTCATGTCTCACATGGAGACTAACAGCACATGAGCGACTCCTTCATTCTCCACATCCAGCTTCAGTCGCTCGCATCTGCATCTGCTCTGCTTTGTGTGCTTCATACAAGACTATATGTGTGCTTTATCATTCAGTGGTGATGCTATTAATATTTACTCAATAAATAAAATACAATTGTAACTTAATATCTTTGTTTTTTTTGTCATTTTTGTTTCGGGTCTTTCTTTGGATCAGGGCTTTAACTCACATTTAAAAAAGAAATAGAAACTTCACTCAATGAACCATGAAAACATCTGCAGATACACAATGAAACGAACATGTGGCCAAATTATGAACCTCACGGATATAGTGTTAGATGAATTTAATAAGATAAAGTTTGTTAAATTAATGAATTTAGCAACTAGAAAACTCAATAAATTATTTATATTTTATAAAATTTATATGAAAATCTACATAGTTGAGTGAGTGATAGTGTTAGAGCAGCTGCAGCATCAGTTCATCACTGTGACTCTGACTGACGGAGGATTTTGTACCACTCTTTATCACTGTGTGAACACATAACCACTGTGGTAACTCTGACAGTAATAATGTCCAGCATCTTCAGTCTGGACTCCACTGATGGTCAGAGTGAAATCTGTCCCAGATCCACTGCCACTGAATCTAGATGGAGTTCCTGACTGGAGGCGGTTTGTTCTATAAATCAGGAGTTTAGGAGCTTCTCCAGGTTTCTGTAAATACCAGAACACACAGGGTGGGCTGCAGGCTGTAGCAGGACTACTGAGTTTACAGCTCATCTCTACATTTTCTCGTGGTGTGGCAGTTTTCACTGAAGGAGTCTGAGTGACTGTGATCTGAGCTTTACACCCTGAGAAACAAACATTTATTAATCCATAAAAATATATTATTTGACATATAATAAAATTATTTAATTAATATTATTTCAAATATACACTATTCACCTTGTAGTATAAAGCAGTATGAAAGTGTCCAGATGAAGATGATGATGAAGGTCATGTTGATGAAGATTGTTGTGTGTGTCAGTGATGAAGTGTTAAACTCACAGCACTATAAACACTCTCAGAGCACTGAAGCATCTGATCAATATGCAAACACTCTCCACATCATTTACCTCAAGACAGCAGAGATACACAGTTTTGCCATTTTATTTGTTCAGTATCTTTGCTAATAAATTTCCATTTAGTGTTTTTAGATACAGGCATTTATAATTTGCTTCATGTTATTTTGGGTCGAGCTTCTCCCTCCAAACACTGTTTAATGTTTCATTCAGACTTTGATGCTGAGAGCATTTAATATCTGTTGTGCTGATTTGATATCATCCATGATACTGTATAACAGGTCAAAGGTCATCTAATAGAGAATGACCATCTAAATCTTACTAAAGATTTCATTATAAAGCAGGTAAGTAGAATTAGCAGAGTTTAAAATCACATGTGTACCGAAAATGCAATGAATGTATTTTAGGACTGTTTATGAAACAAATGATTTCAGCCTTCATGCAATAATACAGTTTTTTTTTTTAGATTAAAAAAAGTGCATGTCTGCTGTTGAGTCTCATATCAGTGTGTGTGAGTGTGTGTGAGTGTCGTGGAGTTTGTGTTCATCTGAGTGTGACGGAGGTTTTTGTACGACACTTTCACTAGAATGAAGCACTGTGGTACACTTTTGGTGGAGGAACTAAACTGACCATCAGAAGTAAGTCTTTCTTAAATTATTTGATATAAATATATAATATGTATGTGTTTTTAAAAACAAGGTTTAAGGTTACTTAGGAATATTTGGCAACAACATTCTTAATTAATAAAAATAATTAATCAAAATATATTATTAAAAAGCTGTACTTTTATTTAATAAGTTTCAGTCTATTTTATTGATTGATTGCACCATCAAAAATGATTATATTATGAATGTCATATTTGGTGATATTCCATGTTTTTCAC